CAAAATAAGATCTCATGTCATTCCTGGGGACATGGGACTTTGCAAGGTCCCTGACGGCCTAGAGCAGGTTGAGGCCGGCACCCTGGACAGGGTGGACCATGGATGGATCTCTCCACAGCTCCCTGCCAGTGCTCTAGGATGACACCACATAACAGAAAGAACTGTGGCTTCCCGGGCATCACCACTGACCAGTGCTTCAATCTCGGATGTTGCTTTGACTCCAGCATTGGTGGGGTCCCCTGGTGTTTCCACCCACTTCCAAAACAAGGTAAACTTTGGAGACCCAGCTCCTCCTTCCAGGTGTCAGTTTAGGACCAGGCCCTGGGCAAGGTCTAGAGCAAGTACTTGGAAGCCTGCTTGTTTGTCTAGAGCTAGCCCAAGTTTATGAAAAGGAAGCCTTAGTGTCTCTTCTAGACCTTCCCTGCCACCCCCATGCCCTGTATCTAGACTTGCCTGTGAGCAGACCTAACTGTTTTCTACCTATATATAAAACCATAATTTCAAAGAAGCTTTGGAAAGGAAATAGAGACATTGGGTAAGATGGCATCACCATCCGTGCAAACAGACTTCAGACTTTAAGATGGGTGTTGAGGCTTCTGGTACCTTTTTCAGAATGTGTTTCAGCCAGGGCTAACTGTAAATACAGTTTGTGTGCGTGTCCATCCAGGCATTGACCTTGCTGTTGGGGCACACTCATTATAGGGAATTTTGTCCCCAGGGGTTTAGTGTACTTAAAACAACAACAACAAGAAAAAAACCAGGTAGGTGGGTGGCCATGTGCTAGGTCCCTTTCACAATCAGGGTTGACTAGCCAACTCTGGGCTGGGTACAGTGGGCTACTCACATTTCACAGAGCGCTCATCCCTGAGTCCAGAAAGGGTGATATGGTTTTTCCCAAGGTTCCAGTTCTGCAGATATTCCCACCTCTGCTGACCTCCCTACACTCCTGTCCTCCTGTGGGAAGCACAGCTGGTCCCTAGCTCTTACTGTGCTGAGAGTCACCAACCCAAGGAGCTCCTTGGGACACACCGAGGCTACAACTTTAGTGTCTCTGGGAAGGAGGCACTGGTGGCCCTCAGTGAGCGGCTAGCCTGACAGAGTCTTGTATGCTGTTCCCCCATAACCAGAATCAGAGCAGTGTGTCATGGAAGTGTCAGCCCGAAAGAACTGTGGGTACCCGGGCATCAGCCCTGAGAATTGCACTGTTCGAAACTGCTGCTTTTCCAACCTGATCTTTGAGGTGCCCTGGTGTTTCTACCCACAGTCTGTGGAAGGTAAATGGTTGCAGGTGGGGGCCCACCTGGGGCCTGGCATGAGCTGATCCCATCCCCTCCCACCTGCTGAGGACCCCTCCTGTGTGTGTGTGTGTGTGTGTTGTGTACATTCACAGGTGTGTGGAGGCTGGAGTTTGATATTGATTGTCTCCCTTAGCCACTCTCCACGAGGTCTCTCTTTGAACTCAGAGTTCACTGATTGGGTAGGGTGGCTGGACAGTGAGCTCCAGGGGTCTGTCTACATCCACCCCAACCCACTCCCTACAGGAAGGATATAGACATGTCCCACTACACCTGCCTTTTTGTGTGGGTTCAGGGGTTCTGAACTCTGACACTCCAGCATGGGCAGCAGGTGTTTTACAGACTGAGCGACACCCGGGTGGTTTGTTGTGTGACCTCACACACTGGTCGGCAGGTTCCTCTGGGAAATTTCTAGTGTTTGTGGAGAACAGGCCCTCAGAGAATGCCGAGGCTTGGCGGTCATCCTTTCCCATTTTGTCCTTCCTCGGCACCTGTTGGTTATGAGGGACCACACTGCTGAGCGCAGGCACTCGTGGCTCCTTGGCATGCTTACTAAACACCCTGCTTTTCCTCCTCCAGATTGTCATTACTGAGAGGTCGTGCTGTCCAGCCGCTGGTTCCCTGGGAGCTGCAAGCCAGAGGAAAAAGGTCTCAGCTGGACTCCATCAACTTCTGAGCTTTCATAAACCATCCTGACTCTCTGCAGTGGCCAATCATGGCAATATTCCTAGTAAAGAAACCTTTAAAACCTGGCAAATGTTATTTTGATTTCATTGAGGCAAATGGAATATGGCAGTGTGTATGTGAATGTGTGAGTATGTCCGGGAGAGTGTGTGTGTGTGTGTGTGTGTGTGTGTGTGTGTGTGTGTGTGTGTGTGTGT